CACGTCGCCGTCCCGCTTGGCCCCGTCATCCTCGCTGTCTGTTGCAAAGTCGTCGCTGCCCTTTGTGGTTTGGGGGGCCGAGGGGCTTTTCTCTGGGAAGAGTGCAGCTAAAATAACAAAGAACCAGCTCAGAACCGGTTCCCTGTGCACACAGGCTCAGCCTCCCCCTAACTCCTACATCAAGGCAGCGCTGCCAGATGCAAATCCGCAGAACGGCCCAGCCAACTGCTGACAGACTGAGGGACTTGCTGGGAAAGGACGACAGCAGAGCTGCCCAAAGCAGCAAATCCCAGTGGATCTCATATCCCTCCCCTCACACCTTACGTCATCCAACCCCAGTCATTACTCAGAGATAACTGCTATTTCTTACTCAGTGGGGGTAAGCTTTTCCGAAACCCAAGAAAGCCCAACTGGACGGAAGCCACGTGCCGCCGGCATGCGCGCGGCAGGGAGCCGTATAAAGAGGCCGGGAGAACACGAGCCGACAAACTCCCTTTAGGACACAGAGGATACCGAGGTTCATACTCACGTGGGTACAGGTCACTCATGCTGTCGTCTGTCTCCTCTCCATCCTCAGCCTCATCACTGGACTTTGGCTCCCAGAACTCCTCTCTCTTGTAAGGCTGCCGGCTCCCGTTCATTTGGTCATCAGGGTGCTGCGTCCGCCGCTTCTTCTGTCGCAAGCAGGCGGGGATGTACTCCACTCCCTCCTTCTGGCACTCCTCATCTAGCAGTGCGAGGGGTCGGGCAGCACTTAGCAAGGCCCCCAGCCACCCGATCCTCTTCCCTTCCAGCCCCAGCTTAGGTTAAACGCAACTCAGAAGTAGGTCGAGCTCCAGCTCTCGTACACGGCCGCGTAACCCACAGCAATACCGTGGGCCAGGGAAGACGTTCACAGACTGTGCTGGGCAGGTGAACCACCCTCTGGGCAAGTTCTAGGACTGCTCCTCTCAATAAGGTTGTTCCAAGGGATTTGCTAGAGGCCTATTGCTCGCTAGACCTGGGACCTTCCCTCCTAGCTGGGGGAGCACACAGCACCAGCAGCATGCTGCGCGCAGAGCTACTGGAATCTCCACAGCTCGGGGAAAAACGCGGCCTGGCTGTACCTTTGGAAAATCCACTTACACGTTTTCAGGGCCTTCTGATAGCGCTTCCCTTGGACATGACGCAGCACGTGCTCTGGAAGCTTGTTGATGTGCCTGAGAGTGAGCTTGCAGAACAGCTGGTGTCTGACAGATGCGGAAAGAGAGAAAGAGCCAAAACAGGGCTTCAGGATGCAATACTTCATAACATTTCCCTCATAAGCACTGTGCTCAAAGTTGACAAATACTTTATAAAGCCTTTCATAGCCTCCCAAACCCACAAACACTCAAGAACTCTGTGCACTCTACTCTGCTCTGGTGAGACCCCACCTGGAGTGCTGCGTCCAGCTGTGGAGCCCTCAATATCAGAAGGATATTGACCACTTGGAGCGAGTCCAGAGGCCACAAAGATGATCAGAGGGCGGGAGCCCCTCTCCTATGACGAAAGGCTGCGAGAACTGGGCTTGTTCAGCCTGGAGAAGAGGAGACTCCGAGGAGACCTCATTGCAGCTTTCCAGTATCTGAAGGGGCTACAAGGGTGCTGGGAGAGGACTTTTTACAAGGGCCTGTAGTGACAGGACAAGGGGTAACGGGTACAAATTGAAATCAGGGAGGTTTAGATTAGATATCAGGAAGAAATTCTTCCCGCAGAGGGTGGTGAGGCACCGGGACAGGTTGCCCAGAGAAGCTGTGGATGCCCCATCCCTGGGAGTGTCCAAGGCCAGGCTGGATGAGGCTTGGAGCAACCTGGTCTGGCGGAAGGTGTCCCTGCCCATGGCAGGGGGGTTGGAACTAGATGGTCTTTAAGGCCCCTTCCCACCCAAACCAGTCTGTGATTCTGATTCTAAAGCTCGACCACTTCACGTCGCAGGTGGAACAAGGTGTGAGGCAGAACACGCAAGAGGCAGCACACGTACAGATTCTTTGTGCTGGGCACTATGTGGGGCTCAAACTTGCCGTAGTCGAACTCGCCGTCAGCCG